TCAGTCAGAATCTCAAAATGACAGATTCTAATGGCTTATATGATTGCATCGCATCTTCACTTTTTTTACCAAACACTTTTTCAGGCTGCCGCATGCTAAAATAAAATCCACAGTCAGCAGCAGAAAAATCCAAGGAATCATGATTATTATGTTGTTTTTTTAAAGCCATCCAAAAAAATTTAGACATATCTCTCATGCTATGCTTGTCTCCAACTCCTTTGTACTCCCTTAATGGAATGCCATTCACCTATGAGCTCTTTCTGATATTACCTTCACTAAGTCTATCTCCTCTCCATTTAATTTGCTGCATATAATATGGCATTCACATTTGAAAAATTAACAAACTGGAACCATATGCCATTACCTCCCTTCTTTTTCTTTAGAAATTGCAGATAGATGTTGGCAATTTCAGCATGCTGCTTATAAAATATTCTAGCAGAAATGAGCTTTGTGTTTAGTTAATGCACAGAACTGGGGGGAGGGAGATGTTTGGAGTTCTTGTCCAAACTCTGACATGCACTTTCTATAAGACTTTCTTGTAGTTAATTATTTTGCCTGATCCTTACCTAATTTAAAGGTTAAATCCATTGATATTTGTGAAGTATTTAAGATATGTACATGGAAAGCACTAAAAAGTGTATTAATATTACACATAGTTTAGGTCAGATTTTATAGATGTTGAAAAAGTATAAATACAATTATTTTCTGATCATGTCTTCTGAAAGCAACTGGCTTTTTAGTTATATTATGGAAATACTATATAGGCTTGATTTACCAATGCATTACTGCACTGTACAGCATAAAACTAGGAGTTGTACCAAGGTAAAACTGGGTTAATACAGGGGACCTACACATTATATTTTATGCATCAGAATCACCAGTACATTCCAACTACTTTGCAATATTCAGATTTGTTGGACTGTGCTTGCTTAATACTGGCCCTTTTACGTCCTACCATACAATGGTATTATCAGCTTCATATTATAAGGACCAAAGTTTGCACTTAACATGTTACTCTGCCTCCTGCCAATTTCTTCAGGACTTACGTATGCATATCTCAGGCACAGAATTTAACTCTAGGGCTGCATAAAGCAGAGTGTTTACAGTTCTACTTTCCCTAGTAAATGTCTGGCAAGGGCACTGATTCTTCTCTCACACATTTTCTGCTATTTGATAGTTATTGCTGATTTACACCAGTGGTAAATTGAAGAAGAATCAGATCTGCCATTTATTTCAGTAATAACCACAAGGTGTTTAACCATCTAAAATAATGTAATATGTGATAGAACATCCTAAATGCATTACATTTTCATAGGTTATCTAAACCTGCCTTCATTTAAAAATGGAAAAATTGCTGAAAGACTGTGCAACACTAAAATGAATTTGTTTCAGTATTCTTTAGTACATTACTAAATTGGCAAACAAAGGAGAAGCAAAAGATGTGCATTCATTTTGCTTGGATTTCAGAAAACCTTTTTTGATATAGTACTTCATAAAAGACTGATCCACCAAGATTTCATCAATAAAGACTGATACATGGGAGAGCTATTGAAATGGATTAAAAATCAGCTACTAGATGAGAAACAAATGGTTTGCTAAAAGGTAATGGCTACATGTGTAGATGAAACAGAAAGGAAAGCATCTAACCCATTTAAATTGATTTGAATTAATTTGCTGGTCTGATTAGACACATGCAGATCAGCATAGCAAAATGGAATACAAGAAGGCTGCATGGTAGACCAAAACATAATTTGAACTAGTGGAATTGTTTGTTGGAAATATATTATAGAACTAAATTAGTCTCTCCTCCCCCGCTCGCTGCGTTTGGTTGTTCTCAAGGTCCCTACTATAGATAAGATTCTGTCTGACCCCTCTGAGGTTGCATGGGGAGGACGAAAGGAGCTTAGCTTTACTTTTATGTCCCAGGCCCAGAAAGAAGGGAAGGGAAGGGAAGGGAAGGGAAGGGAAGGGAAGGGAAGGGAAGGGAAGGGAAGGGAAGGGAAGGGAAAGGACAATTCTTCATTTTATTTCACTAAATTACTTTTATATCTAAGAAAACGCTGAGCACCAACTTTCCTCTCATTCATTAAGTCTTGAAGAGGTATGTAGAATAGTCACATGCTACTGGGAAGAAAAATGCAGAAAGAGAAGTTGACAGTTTTACTGTAACTTCACTTCAATATCCATTGATTTAATTCTCTCACCAGCATTCAAATCATAAAATAAAATAAAAATAGATCTCCATATAAGAGAAAGAAATATTATCCAATATCCAGAGTCTTATTACCCTTCAAAATTCAATCAAATAACATTCAGAGGTCCAGTTCTGCTAAGGATTCAGAAATATAAGCATATTCTCCATTTTTTCTTCCAAATTACCCTCCAGAGAGAACTCTTGCCAATCTATTTTAGTTTTGATAGAAGAGGAAAACAATCCAATTGGAACACATTTGAATTCCTTTTTAACAAATGCTGTTAATGGGTCTGTATAAAGCACATGCATATATATGAGGCCATCAAATTTCACTCAGTACTTCAAAGGAAAGAAAAAGATAATTCAGGTAGTAAGTTGATAAACTGTGTCTTAAAGAGGAGGAACAGATATCTCCTTGCCCAAATTGGGCGTTTAAAGATATTTTTCTCTACTTTATAATGTGTTGCACCATTGTGATACGGACTCTGATCTTGCAAGTCCTTCTGTTGTATATGGAGAAGTTTGAAAAGCTATGCTCCAGTGCAAATTTAAGCACTGGACAGAGGCTTCCATGCTTGGGGATAGTATATGTGAAGTTCTTTTCTGGCCACTCCTTTCTTTCTGAATGGACTGAGTAAGAAAGGTGGCAGCACAAGAGCAGAGAATGGACATATCTCAGAACACATGGACTAAAGAAAAATCTTCCTAATACTAATCAGGAACTTTTTTCCTATGAGGCTTGATTCTTCCTTGTTAATGTTTCACTTGCATTAATGCAATAGTGCTTGTCATTTTTTTTTATATTTGCCTTGGATGTACAATACTCCACAACAATGCTATTTGGGATTAAGAATCCAAGACCTGATCCTGCTATTTGTAGAATACAGATTCTGTAGTCCATCCACAAACAATTAATTACAGGATCATAGTCTCAAAACTTGATTTCAGACCCAAGATAAAAAATTAAAACCACTGTACCCCTCAAAATTTACTCTGAGTCAAATGTTGTGATAGTTTCATAAACAGATGATCCATCTCTGGTCTGAAGCCTTCCATCTATGCACATATGCACATCTATGCACATATGGCTCCATTTTTTATTTATAGTGTTAAAATGTGCCTTCTCTAAAAGAATAGTGTTACCTTTTATCATTTTCCAAGATGATTTTGCAGTATCACTAAAGAAATCTGTAGATTAGTATATTTCAAAGCATTTTCTAGATTTTCTGCTTCACTTAGATATGGTCTTTAACAATCATTAGTATAACAGAAGGTATTCCAAGTTTTTGTCTTGTGTTTGTCCAGTCTGCATACACAGCTATTTTTATATGATTTTTACTCCCAATTTCATCATCTTAGATGCATTCTGCATTCTATTTTTAAGTGTTCATATGATCATCAACCTAAAAAATCAGGAAACACCCTCCTGTCTCCCCAACCTGCTCTTTTCTTATTTTAGAGGTATCCTTTGCTCAGTCATCTCTTGTTTTCTCTACAGAAAAAGAATTCTGCAAGATGCTGAGCTCTGTAGTTCTACATCAGCAGAGCCCTGATGGATGTGCTTAACATTCAGTATGTGTATAGTCTCACTGACATCATCAGGAGTATTCACATGCTTAAAGTTAATCACGTGCTTAAGTAATTTGCTGACTCAGGACCAGAGTATTTAGCACATTTAGAGAATACTGCTCCAGCAAATGTAGCAAAGTGCAGCCTTTCATCCATAGGCCCTGCCATGGCAATTACTTTTAAAGTCAGTGGTTAGTGTAGATCTCATGAGAAGGGAGTGTGGGGGAGAACTGGTTCTGGTTGCTGTTGTCACAGGTGTCAATATTATGCAGCAATGTGGAGAGGGTCTGCAGCAGAGGAAAGCTAACTGGGACTAGAGAAGAAATGTATCTGAAGAACTTGCTGTTCCCAAGAAATCCAATCACTAGCCATGGTGATAGATGATTTTTTTTAAAGAATACAGAATGAGAGAAGCAAATAAATGTGTGTGTAGTACTGGAACTACTGTAGATAGGAAACAGTCATCATAATCTCCATCACTATAAGTGCCGTCATTTAGAGTTCATCAGGATGGGGAATATGCATAAAGAAATAATAGTGAAGGGTCACTGAAGAGTTTTGGGAAGGATTATATCTCAGCAAAAAATGCTAGTCCTTAAATGTAGACGATGCAATATGAAATGTTTAAATCTTTTAGGAAAATATGTATATTAATACTTTATAATATATGTGTGCTTTTCCTTTTAGAGTAGAGAGGCAGTGGTGGTGATTTGTATCTCCTTCTTGTATCTTGTGACTTGTATCTCACCTCCTCACCATCAGGGTGAGAAGTGCAGATCTGGTTGTACTATTCAATCTTCTGTCCCTTTAGAATTCCTGGATCTTTGTATAATGCACTGACATCAGCGCACAGACCGATTTATGAGACAATCTGGTGTCAGACTTTTATATCCAAAAAACAGAAAAAAATTATTAGCCATCAGTAAACATGTGCAGATATGCATTAAACTCTGCTTCTGTTCTAGTTTCATTTTAGTAAGATTTAAGGAAACTAGTTCCCAAACTTCTAAATACTAGATACTAAAACTTAAGCAAGTAAATACATTTTTTAAATGACTACAAGTGTATACGTAGATAAACAAACTGAGATCCCTGTGATGCAAAAGTCGATGAAGATTTCAATGCAGTTTACTTGAATGAAAACTAGCGCTTTGCTCCTCCTTCTGGTGCTATGCAAAACTAATCTGATTTTGGATACTTCAGGTACTTCTGTGGTTCAAGTCACAGCTACTGATGCTGATGATCCTTCATATGGAAACAGTGCCCGTGTCATCTACAGCATACTTCAGGGACAGCCATATTTCTCTGTGGAGCCAGAAACAGGTCAGGAAAATAATATTGTATTCATCTACTATAAGCTTGGTAGTTTTCTTTCTTCATCTAGAAAACTCATGAAAGATAGGATAGATTCATATAAAGCCCATAGTGAAGGGCTATAATGTTTCTTACTTGCTTTGTTTCAATACCTTACAATCCTTGCAATAAATGTGAAAACTATCTGTATTAGATATGGCTTAATAAAATATAAGTAACTTGTATTTTTTGGGGTAGAATCTCGAAAATTATAATGTTTTTGTTTCTATAATATTACATAAAAAGAGAGAAGCTATATTAAAAACTCTTCACAGAGACACACAGATAACTGGATTAAATTAATAGTGGTTGCACACTTGAAAATATGTTTTAAAGATTCATTGAAAAACACTCTGTATCTTGGTACTGTGCATGTCAAAACACTGGGATGGATAACAATTGCTTTTGTGTTTTTCTAAAGGCATCATCAGGACTGCTTTGCCAAACATGAACAGAGAAAACAGGGAGCAGTACCAAGTAGTTATCCAGGCAAAAGACATGGGAGGCCAGATGGGTGGATTATCAGGGACCACCATGGTGAACATCACCCTGACTGATGTCAACGACAATCCGCCACGATTCCCCCAGAGTAAGCTACATTTAATAGTCCTCCTTCACTACAAAAGCTTCTGAATTAAAGAGTTAAGCAATCGCCATCTGGTTTAATTTAAAGTAAATCTAGATTATGGGGCACACATGAACAAAAGGCTTATGTACAGATTTATTCACTGTTATTAAAGTAGAAAATTAAATGTTACAGTACCCCTTTGTTCAGGCAAATGGTTACATGATCAAATATAACAAAAGGAAACCTGAGATACCTTTCAGGATTATTTGGGGGAGTAGGGGAAATACCATAAGAGCATTAGAGCAATTCTTCCTTTCCTGTTACCTGTGGATTAACATTTTTTATTCTTAATGGAAAACAAAACATGTATTAATTTTAGCAAGGAGGAAATAGGTGCCCCGTAGGCCTGCTTAAACATTTAATCATGAAGACCCCAAATCTGAGGAGGAATTACCTGAAGGAAATCCAACAGATCTGTATTTGTATAGACACAGTGCTATAAAAAGCTGCTATGCAGAGAATCTCCCTAAGTGAACGTGAATGGCATTTAACATCACTGTTTTTGACAGCATAATCATATCAAAGCAGTTTATACTACTTTTTAACCTTTTTTTGTCATACTACAGCTTTCAAAGCTTCATAGACTTGTACTAGAATGGGAAACCATTATTAGCCTCCATTTATGTAACCTGGAATTGTTAGACTCTTTTATATTGCAAATTGGTTAGAATTTAAATAGCTGGGAGAAGATACATACAGAATGAGCATCAATTCCTTGAGTATTTCTTGTGGTAGGATAGTTTAGGTGGGTAAACATTTTACTATCTGTATTTAAAATTTTTTGCATATATTGCAGCCAGAACATTTATAGAGTGCCAAAAAATCTGTAACAGCAAACAATTTCCAGTCCCTTCTTGCACTGTTTTTACCCTGTTGCAACTCCATTGACTTCAATGGAATTTTATTCCTGATTTGCACTGAATTTTATTCCTGATTTGAACAGAGAAGAGTCAGGCCAGTATCTCTGGCTTCAGCAAGTTTATTATGAAATAGCAGACAGTGCATAATTGTCCTGAACATACAGGAAGAAAGATGAGATGCAAGTGATGTGGTTTAATTAGACACCAACTTTATTAGCTTAACTCCTCTGGGAACTGTCCAGTAATAACTTACACCATGCAGGTCATCATTCCTGCGTTAATCATTTGCATATCATTCACGGCTGACATTAGTCCTTTCCATCCCTCCACAGCTCATTTCCAGCCTGTTGGAACCTCAGTGGTGGGGCTGGTCAAAAGTGGAGAGGGGTATCTCCTCACTGTACCAGTGTTAGGAGCCCCTGTTCACTTCTCCAGTTTCTTTGGAGAAGGTCTTCCCTTAAGTTCCCTTCCAACCCCTCTGTATCAGTGAACTGTATCCCTCTTCAATCAGTGCCTTCACTAAATACCAGCTACAAGGAGGGGCCAGCAATCAATTTAGTTTCTCCATCACTCGTTCACAGGGACCAATGACTTACTTGAGCCCCACTATTGCCCTCCTACCAGCTTAGGATTCCTTTCCCCCGCCTCCTCTGACCACTGTCCTCTCAACCCTGAAGGGAGAGGTACCCCATAAAGGAACCAATGTCCCTTTCTCCTGTGAGTCCAGCTTCCAAATTTTGAGATTGCAGGTGTTGCATCTAAATTCTCCACTAAAACAAGAGAATCAAGACCAGTACCTCCAACTTCAGCTTGTTCAGTATGGAATAATATGCAATGTAAAAATCAAAATGCTTTCCTAACATTGCAGTTAATACATACTTTTTGTCTGTTCTTTTTCAATAGTAAATTGCTATATTGAAAAAAAGAACTTTATTTGTAATTCAAAATAGATAAATCAAGGAGAGTTCAGAGTACTTACAATTATTTTCCCTGGGTAGAATTTGCCACTCATCTTTCACTTGCTATCTACTTTCGCTTTTCCAGGGATTCTTTTGATAAGTTAACTTCTCTGTAGATGCACATTGTACATACATGATCTTGGCACCTCTGATGCTTTGTGCAGGGCGGTATTATATTCTGCTGCTCCCAGCAGTTTTGCAGACTATTGCAGAAGAGCATTTTTGATGCTGTCTGGACTGAAAACTGCAGGAGAAAAAGCCTCACATGTTAGATTCAACAGGTATATTTAGTACTATAAAAATGCAGGGTTTTTGTTTTGTTTTGTTTTAAAGCAGGGGCCAGACTGTTGCCTTGAGTATCTGAGTAGACTTTATAGAAGTGTTATAATTGAATTTTTGATTGAATACCTCTGGCTTTTTTAGCTTTTATATTCATTGTATTCATTTGTGGGCTGATCCTACGCCCAGGCAAGTCAATGGGCATCTTTCCATTGATTTCAAGTGGAAGTGATTATGACATCTTTCTTCTACAGCAGACTTGTCCTGTATTACTTTGCAGTTGGGGATATGTTTATAGCCACCCTTCCCTTTCTGCTGACACCCTCAACGATTTTGTTAGTCATGGAGCATATTAACCACATACACAAATCTTAAAGAGCTCATGAAATTGATAGAAAACTTGCTAGATTCATGGTGCTACTAAAGTAGAACTGATGTTTTGAAATAATATTTAAATTTAATCTAAAACTTGCAAATAAACATTAAAATGTTCTTGATTTCATCATGTGTATATAAGCTTCATGAAATTGACATTCTCTTACTAAGTTAATGAATTTAAAATTCTAAATTTGTCATATTAATTAGACTTTTTTTAGATTCATAGTGTAGACAATCACAAGATTCATAAATGCATGAGATACAAATCTGGTTTCTGAAACTTGTGACCTTAACACTGATATCAGTTGTGGCGTGTTCACAGCAGATACTTTAGGGAACTGATTGCTGTTAATACCCAGTGAGAACAATTATCTGCTGCAGGCATAGGACATTTGATGCAGCTCAATTTGGAGCACAGAGGATACCCAGTCTTAGACCAGCTAGGTGCTGGTCCCAAAGTATGATTGACAGCAACCTGATAACAGCCACAAGGTACTGGTCTGTCAAGGAAGGGCACCAATGTGCTGGAATGCTCTGGCCATACCTCTTATTCCCATCTGTGGAGAAGAAGGGTTGAATAGGAACAGGAGGGTCACCATGTTTGTGTTAAATGGCTAGCTAGGTGGATTTATGGTCACTTTGTGGTAGCAAAGCAGCATAACCTAAGCATAACTAAGGATTGGACTCAGCTCATAACACCTCAGCATGCCAACCCTCTGATGATTTTGACATTGAAAACATGAATTTTGTGATGCAAAGGAAAGATATTTTATCCTAGAGGAGCTATATGTATAGATTACAAAGAAATATTTAGAGAACTGTGAAAAATTAAATACATAACTCTAGTTTGTATGTTTTGTTTTAACCAATATTTGATGGTTCACTGCCATTGCACAGCCCATCAAATTATTTAGATTTTATTTAGGCATTAATAGGCTTCATTGATAAACTGCTTAGTTAAGATTTTAGTGAACACATCCCTTATGGAACTGATTTCTGAGCTGTGGATAAATCTAGCATATTGGTTTGGTTGTGATTTTGAGAGACTAACCATGATTTCATGAACAACTGCATGTCAGATAACTCATTATACAACAGTATCCTTTGTGGAACAGTCAGAGAAACATAAACATCTCAAAAATTCCAGGCCATTTCTCAGAAAGCTTATGCACAATTTCTCAAGTCTTTAGCTCATAAATGGAAACATCAGTTGCTATGATGAGTTTAGCTAAAGCTCATTGTTTTTGGTTACAATATGATAAAAGTGTAATCAGACAATTCTACCTCTGGTCCCAATGTGATATTTACCAACAAGAACATCCAATATAAATTCATTTACATTACCCAGCTCCTATGTCCTCACTTGAATGTAGAAATTGATGGGACTTGTCACTTTCAATGGGCTGTTTGCTCCTGAATCCCTTATGTACTTATGTAAATCTCCCTTATTCTACAAAAAAATCTGCCTCATTTTGCTCATGGAGTATGCACAAGCAGATAGCTGTCTCTTTGGGAGCAGGATTTCTACAATTGGGCATACAGGTACATTAGGGTTTGTGCTGCTACTGTTGCTGCTTCTCAGGAAATGGGCTTAAACCACAAGCAGAGAATCATAAAGTTAGAATAGACAACAAAGGTCATGTTTGGCTTGATGCACAAATTTTCCCTAACTTCAGTTATATTCAGAAGTGGAGTTTTGGTTTGACGTCATCCTAGTGGATAAAAACAACCAAGTTAAATTGTTTGAATTCACTGGACTCACAAAGCTAATGGAATTAACAAATTCTTTCCCCCTTTACCTGAAGTCCAAGTTGTTCTGGTTGAGCATAAGTGTAGCAATCAATAATACTTTAGAATGGTTAATAGGAAACAAATAATATACTGTGTTATAGATGCTGGTGTCAGAAAATAAGCCTAGGTAGGAGCATGACTTAAGCACTCCCAAGATGATATGTCTATCCTTACATACATACTCCAGAGGAGGTGTCCATGGAGCCCTGTTTTTTTCCTCTGGCTTCTCCCATTCCCTCCTCTTCCTCCCTCTAAACATAGTGACTAGCTCAGCTGAGGAGATCAGGAGTGTCATAGCTTGCTACTGGTACTGATATATAGCTAATTGCTTACACTCCAATGCAGGAGGAAGGAGGAAACATCTCATTCTGGTCTCTGAGGCACACTGCCTGACGCGCTATACAACTCTGGGTGTTGCCATTTATGCACTACCTTTTGCTCAGAATTGAGTCTACAGGCACAATCTAACACATACTGAGTTTGTGCCCCAAAGAATTTAAACTAAAAGACAAAACAAACAAAATAAGAGAAGGAGGGGAGTGGTCTGATACAGTGGCAATGAGGGATGTATAAGTACCTAGACAGATCATAAATGCAAAATGGTCAGGATGAGTGTGATGTTCCATGTATTTGGAGCAATATAGTGCAAAGTTCAGAGAATGTTTTGCATGCACCATGCAGCATTTTCAAATTAAAAAAAGAATAAGAACATACCTGTATTCCTTGAAAAAAATCAAAGTAACTGCTGTAGTCTGTTTTAAACACCTAAGAATATGGAAACGGAGATTAAATGTTGCCATGGCACCCTTAAGCTTCCTCTTCACGTGTACTGTCTCATGAAATATTGTGGGACATATGGCCTTTCCTCACAGTCTCACACAGCACTGAATAAATATTTATTTTATAAATATGAGCAGTGGGATTTTGTTGTCATTTTTGAATGATTAACAGATTATAGAGAGATTATGTACTAATGTAGCAAAGTACACAGATTTAAACATTACAGAAGGGTAATGAAAATGACAAAGTAAATATGAGTTAAATCATAGAGCTGGAAACACTGAGGTGCAAGGATGTCAAACTCATATTAATAAACAGAGCTAAATTCACTTTGGTAATACAATAGTGACTCATCACCATGCATTCTGTAGCAGGGTGTATCAATAAACACCATGAATATATGAGAAATGTAATTTGACTCATTGTTCTCTGGTGTGATGATTGATGGTCTTTCTCTAGGTCAGTGGTTCCCAAACTTTTCGGCATCACACCCTTTTTGATTTTTGAGAAACCCTCACACCCCCGCCCTCCAATAGCAACAAAAATTGTTGAGAAAAAAAAAGGAACTGACTGGGGCCGAAGAACAAAAATAGCAGCAAAATGTAAGGGAGGGTCACCTCGTGCCCCCCCCTGGAATTTCTTCATGCCCCCCCAGGGAGGCACACCCCCCAGTTTGGGAACCCATGCTCTAGGTGGATGCAGTTTAAAATCAATGTAATGTGCATTTTAATTATATTGGACAAACATTATATAATAACTGGAATAGATTAAGCTAGTTCCTAAAAATAAGAATAATCCTGAAACTCATTCCTATCCCCACAATGAAACACATAATTTCTGTGTTATGGCTCTCCTCAGCAGGAGTCCACCTCTTCCGTTGCACACCCCTTTTTTAATCTTCCTACCATTCTGTTAGGTATCAGGAGCAACCAAGAAGTGACTTGTGTTGTATATTGGGTTGTAGATATAGATCTTGTTGTTATGGTAACTGAGTAGGTCACTGGGGTCAGCCCAGCTAGTCTGGGCTTGTTCTAGTGAGTTCTGTGCTATGCAATAAAATGGACACTTGCACCTATTCCAGCTCTCTGCCTTTCCACTGATTTCTTCCTATGCTGTGAAACTCCCCACGACATAACAACTTGCCTTGATCTTGTTGCAGCTGCAATGGAAGGTTATCAATGTCCTTCCCAATTCATCTTATGCCTTTCTTTGGGGAAACATGCCCTCCACTGGCTCCGCTTAATGCTTCTGCTTGCTTGGGGTGCATCACCATTCCATAATCATGCAGTAACTTAGGTTTCTAATGTGCTGGGCCTAAATTCTTCCCATTTTGGATTTCTGAAGCATTCTGCAACAGTATTAGCAAAAGAAAAGTGGATCTAGATGGGACAAGTTTAAGGAAAGGAGAGAGAGCTGGACTTGTTTTCAGTGAGGGGAGGATGCTTTACTGAACTGAAGCTCCTAACCTTGGAGGTTTCTCCACTAGTAATTAATATAAGCTACATTTAGACAAAACAGGCAGTGATAAAATATTTGCTGCTGTGAACTTGTTAGATCTCTCAAATTGTTTGCATTTACCTGAGAGTCCTTTATGAAAAATATGAAGGGCAATATCCCTCTGGTTCACTATGTTTGCATAGAGTGTGCCTAATGTATTTCCTCTTTCAAGGAGGATATTGTCATAGCAGCATCTGTTTGGGTTTTTAAAAATTCTCTTTTTAAAAACAATGCTTGCTTAAAGCACAGTGTGGCTAAAGGGATTTCCCTCCTCAAGTTCTTGGCAGTTGAGTACAATGACCTCTTCCTGCATGTATAGATGAATGGCATGGATAGGATCCAGAACAGTAGATGGTATAGTAAAACTCTGGTTTAAATCCATTATTTATAATTGTTGATATTGATTTATCTTCATCTTTGCTCATCAGCATTATGCTAAAGCTTAAGGGTTTAAACTCTAGCTCAAAACCAATACAAAAGAGTTGTTTTTGTGCATACAATTTTAATTGTAGCGGTGAATATATAATTTGCTACAAAATGATTTAATAAAGCCTTTTTCCTCATGGAATGTTCATAAGAAGTTTTCAGTTTCCTGGAGCTTGTTTGCTATTTGTATTTTTTGTCATATCTTATTGCATTTTTTTTACCTTGTGGACTGAAATTCAAATACTTGAATTTCAAACTGTCATTTATAAGGGATTGATCAGAATAGTCAGGTGATTCTCTTTGTTTCTTGACAGAATGATATCGAATGTTCTCATGCAAACACATGCACATGAGAATTTCAAATCTGGTTTCTATGAATAGTTAGGCATTTGTCTTAAAATATGCTTTTTGCAAATATTTAGGGCAATCAAATTTGTAACTACAATATAAATATGAAAGCACCAGGCTTATTGCCACTATGATTCATTTTAAAAGTACAAATGAATATTTTTGCATTATTGGCCAAATAAATAGGATTGACACTCTTTTAACTGAAAAGGTAGATTTAAAAATTAACTAAAATGGTGTTTTCTTACAGGGACTAGAGCAGGATAACAGCCTTGGTATTTAGTAGCTGAAAAGTGTTTACCGTTCAATTATAAGGATTTTAAAATAGGTTTTCTTCGTGTCTTAGAATTACACATCATTTTAGAAACTGGGTATTTTATGATTACAGCATTTTTAGTATTAGGCATAAAGTAAGTGGTAACAATGAAATTCTATTATAATTTTTAATGTTTCAAAAATGAACAGAACTGTTTAGATAATGAGCAATAGAAGGGAAAGGGGGAAAATCCTCTAATGAATCAAAGGAGAGAACAAATACTTGAGGGCACTCAGCAGGGCTAATGCTGAAATAAGCTACGCAACCTGAGCTATGTGAATGGCTTAGCTTAAGTCAAAATAGCTTATTTCGGCTTTTAGCACTGTCTATGCAGTAGGAAGTCCGAGTTAGAGCATTCTTCCTCCAACTTCCCTTACTCCTTGTAAAATGAGGGTTACAGGAGTCAGAGTAAGAAGTCCTGCAGCTCAACATTATTTTGATATTATGTTGAAATAACTGCTTGCAGTGTAGACATGGACTATGTTTTTTCTGAATAACTGGCGTTATTCAGAAATAATGCTGCTATGTAGACATAGCTCCAGCAAAGGCTGTAGCTAGGGACACAAAAGTAAGTGAAATAAAAATGAGTGTGGGACATCTGAAAAAGGAGTATCACATGTCTACAATAAACACATCTCCCAAGGAACATAACTGAATATTTTTGTATATTTAGTCATATAGCAGTAGAGTAATTATTAGTATCTGAAAAGTATCAACACTATGTATGATTACACTAAAAGAAGGTTGCAAAGTTCAGCATACATGTGAGAAAATTTCATAATTAAGTTTGCCTTTACCACTTTAATTTGTCCCCCTTGTTGTAGGCATGTATACAGAATTGCATTACATAGCACAGGAAATCCATGGCAGAACTAGGAATAGAATCCTTTTCTCCCCTCTACTTTATGCTCTCCCCTCTTATAATCCTCTGCCTCATTCATTGTCCAGGCTCTGTAGTAAACGAAGCAGAGTTGCTGCAGAACAAATAGCACATGGTAATATATTTTACAACTGTACAATAATTCACAGTTTCTAAAAGTTATGCGTCTCTTAACTTGTTCTGTTTTTTTCTTTCAGGTACTATCCACCTCCGCATTCCAGAATCTTCCCCAGTTGGCACTGCCATTGGCAGTGTAAAAGCCACTGATGCTGACACTGGGAAAAATGCTGAAGTGGAATACAGAATTACTGATGGTGATGGAACAGATATGTTTGACATTGTGACACAGAAGGACACACAAGAAGGCATAATAACTGTGCGAAAGGTGTCTATAATCAGTTACAACTACTGAATGGTTTTGGTGTAGAGCGGTGGTCCCCAATGTTTTGGAGCTGCCGGGCGCCTGGGGGCGGTGCCACTCATGTGCTGCGCGTACGGGAGCGGGGCCACTCACAGGCCACGTGCCTGGGGGCGGGGCCAAGCATGAGCCGCCCGGGGCTAGCACCGGCATGTGCCGTGACCCCGGGCAGGGGCCGCCCAGGTGTCATGCGCCTGGGGCCGGCACCGGCATGTGCAGCAACCCCGGGCAGGGGCCGCCCAGGTGCCGTGCGCCCTGGGGCCGGCACCGGCATGTGCCACACACCCGGGGCCAGGGCCGGCACCGGCATGTGCCACGCACCCGGGGCCAGGGCCGGCACCAGCATGTGCTGCGACCCCAGGCAGGGGCTACCCAGGCGCTGTGAGCCCTGGGGCTGGCACCGGCATGTGGCACGCACCTGGGGCCAGGGCTGGCACTGGCATGTGCGGCGACCCCGGGGCAGGAGCCGCCCATGCGCCCGGGACTGGCACCTGCCGCACACCCAGGGGTGGGGACAGCCCAGATTGCTCCGCAGGCACACATAAATGGCCCGGCGGGCGCCATGGCACCTGCAGGCACCGCATTGGGGACCACTGGTGTAGAGGATGTAAATCCCAATGTTATATATCAGACACTATAGAACAAATTATAACCACCCTTAAAAGCTCAGCATTTGCACAATTTATCACACAGCTATATCTTAGAGCTTGTACTGCTTCCCTGTTTTATTTAGAACAGGAAATAATCAGTGTTTGAGATCTCACTCTAAAATACTGACACTAATATCCCTGGCTGCGTCTACATGGGCAAGATTGTGTGCAAATACTTTTAACACAAGAGTTTTTGCATTAAAGTATTTGTGCAAGAGAGAGTCTACACTGGCATGTGCTTTTGCACAAGAGATGTGCTTTTTTGCAAAAGCATCTGTGCCAGTGTAGACACTTTCTTGCGCAAGAAAGCTCCAATGGCCATTTTAGCCATCGGGCTTTCTTGCGCCAGAAATTCATGTTGCCTGTCTACACTGGCCTGTTGCGCAAGAACAGTTGCGCAAGAGGTCTTATTCCTGAGCGGGAGCATCATAGTTCTTGTGTAAGATGCAC